ACGTCTTTACTGTCTCGCAGCATCATGGCCTGGCGTGTTTTTGTCGCCTTGTACTCTTCCACCACTGATGTTATTGGCAGCTGTAGCTTGCTGCCTGTGCTGTACAGGCCAATGGAGCAAAAGCTTTTTGGGATGCCCAACCATCTCCTCAGGTAGGTGTTCAGCTTCCTCTCCAGTCCCTCAACAGTGGAGACAGGTACCTCATAAACCAGGAGAGGCCAGAGCAGTCTGGGGAGAACCCCATGTTGGTAACCCCAGGCTTTGTACTTGCCCGGGAGGCTGCTCTTCTCGAGAGATGTCATCCAAGTTTCTGCCTGGCTAGGCAGCTCCTTCACACTCTGCCTGTCCTTGAGGTCCGCCCTGTACCACTTTCCCAAGCACTTCACAGGCTTTTCTTGGACAGTTGGGATCGTGTTCTCTCCAATTTTGAAGTGATACCGATCCTGAACGCGCCCCTTCTTCAGAACCAGGCTTCTAGATTTTTCTGGTTTGAACTCCATCCTTGCCCAATTGGTGATCTCAACCAAGTCCTCCAGAATCCATCTTCCTTCTGGTACTGATCTTGCTGTTATGGTGAGATCGTCCATAAATGCTCGAATAGGCAGCATCTGGACTCCACTTGCAAGTACTGCACCTCGACGCAACTTCTCTGCTGATTTGACGAGAAGGTTCATCGCTGCGGAAAAAAGGATCACTGAAATCGTGCAGCCTGTGACAATGCCCACTTCCAGTCTCTGCCAGTTGGTGGTAAACTCCCTACAGGTGAAACGCATGTTGAATCCGTCGAAGTAGTATTGCAGAAGCGCCTGAAATCGCTTAGGTATATGGTAGGTCTTCAGCGTCAGCTCCACTAGCTTGTGGGGTATTGTTCCATAAGCATTTGACAGATCCAACCACAGTACTGCCAGGTTGCCATGGTTTTTCTTCGCGTCCTCAATGATTTTGGAGATAACGCTGGTATGTTCAAGGCAGCCAGATATCCCTGGAATGCCCCCTTTTTGTACCGCAGTGTCCATGTACCCGTTCTCCAACATAAAGGTGGTCAACCTCTTTGCCAGGATCCCCAGGAAGATCTTAGCTTCCACATTGAGCAGTGAGATGGTGCGAAACTGCTTGATCCCTGAAGAGTTCTCCTCCTTAGGGATGAAGCACCCCTCTGCGATCAGCCAGTCATCAGGAAGGTAGTTCTTCTTCCATGCCACTGTCAGTAGCTTCCAGAGTCGTCTCCTGAGCCTTTTGCAATGCTTGTTAACACTGTATGAGATGCCATTTGGCCCTGGAGCCGATTTTCCTCTGGCTTTCTTTAGAAAGCCGTTAACTTCCTGCCAGCTTGGTTCCTCTGTCTTGAAGGGGATTGTTGGTTCGGCTGGTTTGATGAGCTTTTCCATCTCATCCAAACTGACCTCCCTTCTGGGATCACTATGAACCTGACGAAGATGTTCCTCCACCTCCTCCTTTGTTGCTTTCAACTCCCCTGATCTTTTGTCACCCAGGAGTTTTGACAGGTATTGGAATGGATTCTTGGTGAAAGCTGCCCTTTCTTTCAACCGCCGCTTCCTGTCCCTGCGGTGACACTCAGCTCGTCGCAAGATCTTAATGCGCTCCCTCAGATTCTTCCAGAGTTCTGTGAGTGCTGGTTTCTCATTTGGTGTTGCTTTGCGAAAGGCCTTCTTCAGCCTCCGCAAGTCCCCTCTCAGGGTTGCTATCTTCTTCGGGCGTCTATTCTATTTGAGCTGGGTGTCTGCTCTGCCTTTCAGCTCTTTCCTTCCGAAGCGCTCAGCACCCATGCTCCAGATTATAGAGGACATGGCCTTGAGCTTCTTCCCCACATCTCCTGCAGTGGCTGCTTCCAGCACCTGGTCCACGTCGCGATCAAACATCTCCCATTCTTTTGTTGCAGCTGCATTTGGCCAGTTCACACGTTGTTTCCGGATGTCTCCTTCACAAGTGATCTGCGCAAGCTGCCTGTTATACTGAGTCACTTCACTCTCACTCTGTTGCCTTGCTGCCTCCGTCACATCAGCGATGCTGCTCCTGCTTCCCTCCTCGTCATGTGCCTGGAGATTCTGGAGACTGTGGTTTGTGTCCTGCCCCGGCCTCTCCTCCATCTCACCAGGTTTCCCTGTGCGTTGCACATTACTTTCAGGTTGTAAGCACTTCATCTTTGTCTGATGTATCTTCAGCCCTTTCTCATTTTTGCATTTCTTCCCACATCTACAGACCCGGGATAAATCGCTTGGCTGTTCCGTAGTCGTTTGTCCGTTAATGGTGGTCATAACGTTGTTCTGTCCTGTGGGTCGATCATCCTCCCCCGCTCTCGCTCGGCCCCGGGGGTATCTTGTAATATACCTTTCCATAGCGGTTTTTGGGTTTTCTCCTCACGGAGAGTGTGGTTGGCCTGCCAAGCCGCCACACCCCAGCTCTGGTCTTTCCCAGATGTCAGCAGTCTTTCCTCGCTGTCACCGTTCTTCCTCGGTTGCCAACTTGTCTTTCCAAGTGGTCACTGGGTCTGCCAGAAAGGAATATGCAAAATACGATAAGGGATATCGCAACTGGTCCAATTTTACAGGTACTTGCCCCTGCACCATCTGTGGGCCAGTGGCATTGCTCTCTCTCTCTCTTTCCTTCCCTCAAGGCACCACTAGGTCTCTGTGACTGGAATCGGAGTTGGGTAGGCTCAGAAGGTTGTCAAATGGGCACCCCCCTTCACTGGTGTTTCGTTGATTTAAGCCCATGACACCTCGGAGGGGCTCAACGGCAAATCCAGCGTCCTGGGCCCACCCCTACTGAACGCCACCCAACTCCTCATCCAAATCATAAATGATTTGTAAAAATTTGTATGCATTTTTTATCAAGAAACTTCACTGCCTTACTTTGACCTTTTATTCTTTAACAAAACTAATCTTACTTATGATTAATATTTATGTCAAACTTTTTACTTGCACTAATAAGCAAAATCCTACAAAATGATTTGTAGATTTAGAACTAGACATAACTAGAACCACATTTAAAGAAAATATATTTAAGCAATCAGTAAAGACATTTAGATCTGTTGAAATATGGCGGAAGTTGCTTGAAATCCTTTTTGTTTTTTTTTGCAAGTCAGATTGTTAACATTTGAAATTGCCACTTCAGAAACTTAAAATGTAGTTTTTACAAATCAAAACTCATTTTTAGACAACCAAAATGTAAATACATTTATCAAGCAAAGCCGATTTTATGTTAAAATGGCTTGCCACAGTTTTGAGCATGGACAGAGGGAAAGGTTAAAACTCTATGTAGGCTGGATCTTCTTATTCACTACGAAACATCAGCTTTCAGAGCTGCATCTTTTTCCCACATCACTACAGTAAAATCGAAGCCTTTGAAGTGCAGCTCTGCTCTCCCCCCCACTTCAAACAGAATACTTTGATGCAGAGTAATAGGAGCCAAATGAAAATCTTTCTGGCATATTTTGTAAGTGTGATGTTAATTAGAAAGGAATAAACCCTCTCAATGCTTTCTGTTAAAACCCTTATTAGTTTGGTCATAGTAACAAGTGATGACAAATGTAAAACTTTTAAATGTAGATTACACAACATTTAATATTTTTGATTGGTATGATAACTGGCTGATGTACATGGGTCGCACGCTTAATCCTGTGCTGATCAAATTTTTTAAATGTTTCTTAGGCATCAAATTTAAATTTTATTTATCCATCAAACACTAATGATCAATTTTTTTTTTTCCTTCCAATAATCTTCTAAAGTTCTGTTAAGATCTTCTAGAATACTTATTTAAAGATCACAAAAATACATCATATATATTCATACATATTCAGTTTGCATTTAAGTAGCAACTTTGTGTAGTTGAACCAGGGTTTGACTCTGATTCATTTAAGTTATCTGTTACTCATAAAGAACAGTCGTATATCCAGCTTGTATCACCCCGGTTAGATTGGACAAATTATAACGTTAAGGCAGGTAGAGAGCATCATTACCAACTTTGAAATGAATCCCATACCAGCATTATCTGAAGAGTTACTTACAAAAGAAGAACCAATTTCCTCCAAAAGCTACATAAAAACAAAGATAATAGATTGCCAATGTCCACAGGGACAGACCCTGATTTACAGAAACATGTACAGAGGTTTTATGAAAATCATCCCAACCATGAACTAAACCGATAAAAGCATCACGTTGTGTCTGTGTTTTGCTATAAAAGCAACTTGTCACTGAACAACATAGATTGCATTATAAAATAAACATTACATGTACATTTTGAAGCAATACCTCATCATATATGGAGTTAAAGCCAGGGTCTATCAAATGAACAATCGAATCATACAATCGAATTAGCAGTAAAATGGAATAAGGAGAACAAAGCCATGGTTTAAAGCATTCTTTAAAATCTATCCATCCATAAACCGCTAAAAATTTTTGTGTGCAAAGATGAAACGGTGTTTGTGTGAGCAAGGTGGTCTACAAATCTAAAGAAGTTCTCTGAGCTCTATAGAGAAAGATTAAACAAAATCTCTTATTTACCTATTAAGAAAAAGATTGGTCGTCCTAAATGACAGTTAAACAGGGGTAGTTTACTTGATTTATCATCAGGAAATGAGGAAAACATGATTGCTAAAATTCATATATAAAGTTTATATCAGTATTACTTTTGTGGAAGAAAACTGGATTGAAATAAAATTCAGCTGTAACTGTTTTTCAGTGATTTGGAGACTTATGAAAAGAAGTTAGAAAAGCAACAGTCCACAAACCCTTTTTATAACCAGTGTAGCATGTTTGCTTCTTACCAATTTAAGTAAAGGAGAGACTGACCAAAAAGAACTGCCTTAAAATCTCTACCTGGGCAGTATAGCTGCTGTAAATCACCATAAACTGTTTGTACTGTGTATTGCCCATTCTGTGTGACTGGACAAGCTTTCAGAGATTGTGAGGGAATAAAAGAGCCAGTATGAACCAGTAATACCATAACTTCATGCTTGTTCCTCGCTTTCTTTTCCACAGAGATTCGCGAAGCTTTCAAGGTATTTGACAGAGATGGGAATGGCTTTATCTCAAAGCAGGAGTTGGGAATGGCCATGCGTTCGCTGGGCTACATGCCGAATGAAGTGGAGCTTGAGGTTATCATCCAAAGACTTGACATGGACGGTGCGTCTCTGACCTTCTGTCTGCTACATGGCCAAACTGTCCAACACCAGCTCCACTGTGACATAGTTGCATTTCTGTCTGTTTCATCAGGTGACGGCCAGGTTGGCTTTGAGGAATTTGTCACATTGCTTGGTCCTAAGCTCTCTGCTGCTGGAATGCCTGATAAATTCCATGGGGCTGACTTTGACTCCGTGTTTTGGAAGGTAGACTGAGTCATAGTCAATTATTTAAATAATTATGATTGACCAGTGAAATCGATATGTATAGCATGCTGTTTTTGTAATTGGAGAACTGTAATTATTACAGCACAATTTGTTTCTTACAACTTATCTGTTGATGTCCTGTGATCAAAAGTACGTTCGAAATGAAATTTTGTTGAAAAAGATTGTAATTTTAGCTTAAGAATTCACCTTTAATCATCCAGCTTCTTTGTTCTTCAAAACAAAATTTCATCAGCTGTCTTAGGAAGATAATAACAACAGAAATAATTTAAAACAGATCTGTGTTTTTGATCAAAGCTGGCGATCAGGGAGACTGGAGCTGAAGTTTCTCCTCCTAATTAGATCGTTCTTTGTGTTTTCTGTGTTCCCAGTGTGACATGCAAAAACTGACAGTGGATGAGCTGAAAAGACTGCTGTACGACACCTTCCGTGACCATCTCACCATGAAAGACATTGAGAACATCATCATGACTGAGGAAAACCACCTGAACAGTCCAGAGTCTCATGTGGATATTGACAGTATGTATCATCCTTTTCTTTTTTCCTTTTTATGTTCATTGACATGTTGAAGCTGTGCGAAGACACTACAGTGCACTGATGTTATGTTCTATTTTCCTAAATCTCTTTACAGCAAGCCCAACGCAGCAGGAAAAACACACATGTGTGCGTAAAAGCCTGATTTGTGCCTTCGCGATTGCATTCATCATCAGCGTCATGCTCATTGCAGCTAATCAAATGCTCCGCAGAGGAATGAAGTAAATTAATGTTGCCAGCGGGACAAAGCAGAATCTGGTGTTTGGAAGAAAAGAAAATCATTAGCCAAAAAAAAAAAAAAAAAGCTCTTATTTTCCTTCTTAATTGATAGTCAAAATGATGCTTTCACAGCCTTCTCTAAAGTATAAAGGATCAAATGATGTCACACATTGGTTGTGAAAGCCCACTTTTCACAGCTCACCATGGCAAAAAAAAAAGGAAAAAGGGGCTACAAGGGCTGATTGGTGTTAAAAACATATTGGCTAAGAAATTAGAGCAGAACTTGGACTGTAACTAATAATGTAGAGCTTCAGAGTACAATAAGTGATGTAAGAGTAGCTGTGGTGCATAAAACCCTTCGGTCTAGTTCAGCATGTGGTCATCTCACATGCACCAAATAACAAAGTACCAATGATCGTAATAAAGCAATAACAATGTGAACCACATATGGTTTAATTTTACATTAGAATAACATGACTCTCCCCCACAGTGAGGAGAATCTTGTATTTTCTGATAAAAACATACATCAAAGTTCCACAACTTAATCGGAGTCTTTGGGCACCTTTAATTACTTATCAATGACATTAAATATGAGTTCATACACACGGATACTTTTAAGTGCTGTTCAAGATCAGAAAAATGAGAAAAAGCGCAATTTAGGTAGATGAATTTGGGGTTATATAATATCTAAAAAAAAATGCTGTTCTGGTTGTTCCACTTATCTTTAGTCAGAGTTATAAATGAAAAGGTTTACATAACTAAAACTGTGATAAATTGTTTGCTGTTACCTCACATAGTGAGTAGGGGGGGACAAGAACGTAAATAATTAAGCATCAGGTCACCAAGTCTCTAGGACAACTTATTTTGTACACATCTTTTTTTTTTTTTTAAACAGGCCTACCAATAACTATGGAGGGCATCATATCTTTAACACATTTTTATATATTTTGGTGCATTACACTTAACATTAGAATAATATGAAGGGCGACATAACTGACCTAATTCTTTCCTTGTCCAAACACAAAATATTTGCTGAAATGGTTGAGACAAATACAAGAATAGATCTTATGCTTTTACATTTTAGACTAAAATTAAATCATTTTTCTCTATATTAGGTCATTTATACACCTTTTACTGTAGATAGTTTTAAAGTCACATATTGGAAGTTAAAGAAGGGTGCAAATAGATGCACTGGGACAGTTGGTATGTATGAGACACAGCATATAGTCTATGTTAGAAGGAAACCAATGAGTAGAATAAACCAGTGGGAAACCAAAGTATCACTCTGGGAAGCACTGTTATAATAAAATGGATTTGGAAACTCTGGCTGAGATCCCAGACCACATGTAGTGGGCTCCAGTCAACTGATCAGGCAGAAAGAAAACACCCCAAAGAAGATTAACGGGTTGCCTGAAAATTAATTACAGCGCTTAAAAGCTTACACAGAGTCTTTGAGTCAAACAGGTGTTCGGTCCACTGAAATGTGAACAACTTAAGTTGAGAAGAATTTTTTTTTTTTATGACAAAATTTGCCAGCAAATTCGCAATCATAATATATCCCTTGAAGCAAAATAACTAATACGAGTAATATGAACTCCCAACTTATTGGCAAAACTGATATGAATATACATAAAACATTGAACATCAATTTTTTCTCCTACTGATCTTTTGAGAAAATCTAAGTCCTTCTATTAAGTGAGGATAAAATCCCACATCGCAGAATAATTGGTTGGTACCCTCACTGTCAATATTGATCTAATTTGAGAAAAGGACATGGCTCCACTAAAAGGTGCATTTCAGCTAACATCCTTTCTGGATGTTTGTAATGGTAGGAGAGAGAAGGCTTAAACGACATTACGGGATGTATAGACCATTTAAATTGTTGTTACAGAGACTTGGTGACCCCAAGGTGCAAATCTGTGCTGTGGGTCTCTATAATCATGAGCTTAAGAGATCTTTTTTTAACCTGGTTTAGCACCCTCCTCACTGCACACCAAGGTAAGATGAACTTGGGTTCATCCAACTTTAGTTGTCAGAGGTTAAGTTGTTTTAAAAAAATGATTTATTGCTCAGATTTTTTCTGTACTTTCAGTTCATAAAGTTTTCTTGCAGCCATCTCCTTGCTTTAAACATGCAAAAGTCTTGGGATACTAATACATTTTAAGATGGTACATGCTAATAAAATGATTTAGGCATGTTTATCCTATGTGGAAACTATCTGAGGTGTCACAACAGATGCAGTAAATGTTGCCTCTGGAAATTCAAACAAAAGCTTCGAAGATTCATTTACTTTATGTTTATTCACTGCTCTTTACCTTGGGTGCCAGCAGATGCGGAGGTTGCAAAACCCTCAGATCTCAGAAAAAAAAGTGTTTATCTCTAATCCATTAAACAATTCAAGACAAGATTGTACGTTCACAATCACAACTCACTTGCAATACATGGAAATCCCAGCTGCACATTTCAAATCAATGCATTTAAACCATACATTCAGAGAGACCGTTTATCTGCAGAATTATATGTTTAGAATAAATGCAGCTGTGTTTAGACCATGTATTACCTGTAATATTTATAGCAAATGAATATGATGTATTCTATGCGGCACACTTGCATGTCAAGAAATAATTGTGTGTACTGTGTGGGTGGTATACATTTTTGAGGTATATGTTAAAATAATTATGCAATTTACTAAGTGATAATTGCAAAAAAAAAATGACAATTTCCTGTAAATGTCATTTTTGTGAAATGTGCAAACAATATCGAAATACAAAATTCTTTGCATTATGCTGTGAACAATAATCTAACATATCATGAGGTGGGGAGTCGTTGTCCAGCTTTTACATTGAGCACTTAGACAATACATTATTTGAGTATACACATCATTATATTTTCTTATACCTGGATTAAATATGTTATTTTATTATTGATATATGCATAAAGTTTTATAAAAACATAAAAAAACTAAACAAAAAAAATAATGAAATCATGTGTCTGGAGATTCAGATACAAGTTCTGTATATTAAGGCCATGCACTTACATTCACTTTTCAGATTTGTTAATTTTTAAGGTTTTACTAAATGATTCTTATTTCACTAAGTCAATTAAGTTTATCAAAGCTCTACCACAAAGATTAACAGCATGGGAAGATGAGAATCACTCTGGCAATAAATATATATTTTAACTTATGTAGGCGTTTGTGTAAATAAAAAAAAATGATTTATATGACATTGCTTTACCTCTTCATGTGAACATATCATGTAAAAATGGATGTTTTATGGATATACGATATAGTCTCTGTGCCAAATCTTGTCCTATGATGCACTGTATTTGTAAATGTCTTATAATATGTGTCACTTTGTCGATAGGTTGTCTTAATTGTTTGCGTTTGTAACTGAATTTTGTCATTTGGAGTTCTAGAGATAAAGTAAGTATCACTGAAGCAATGCAACCCCAGACACTGTCGTACAAAGATAATAAATCTTTTGTCAAATATGAATGTTATGTAGAAAAAATATTGTCTGACCTGAGCTGGCTTATGAGTAGAAATCTGCTCCCCCCCCCCAAAAAAAAAAAACCCTCTAAACCTTCTTATAAGCATTTTGTCTTCCAGCTGTGATGCGTTATATGGAATTTTAGTATCTAAAAATCTAAAATATATAGTCTTTTGTTTTTGTTTTATTTTTACTCTGTAAAAGTCACTGCATTTGTTTATGCACTATTGTGTTGTTGAGATGCATGTGGTCTAATAAAAGCAAGTGAAATAGTAAAAAGTCTGTAGCTGTCTGTATGTGCTAAAAATAAATGAAGGTGAGAAAGCTGCAAAGAGATGCACGGTTTATTGAGGACATTTGCATGCTGTCAAATCATAAAGACAAATGATTCTATTATGAAGTGAAAATATGGTGAAAATTCATGAGCCCTAGGGTTAGAAAAACAAAGTAATACTGAATATATTATATATTCGACAATGTTGGCAAATAATCTATCACTGCTGCATGAATCAAAAAAAATTTTAAGATGCAAGCATTTGTGGTTAAAATTTCAGAATCTAAGAGGAATTGTAGATTAAGGGAAGCCAACAAAGTTTGCAGGTGCTTTTATAAAACACCTGTACATTTCAACATCATCAGTTTACATGTTCTTGGCAAGCATAAGATGCTACCATTTATCTAAGGTCCTGAAAAACACCCCGACTGGTTTGTATGTGGGTGAAGAACTCATGAACCAACTTAGCTAAAACCTGTCCTAAACTTATAGTTGCTTACATACACATTTTTATTACCCAAACTGAAGCATGTTTTACATTGACGTGAATTTAAAAGCTACCAATCAGGAAAATAATCCCGTTTCAAAGTGGATGCCATAAAACTCGACTGAAAACTACATTAAAAATAGCTGAGTGTGGAAGAGTCAAGTTGAGTTTTAAAAACTTAGAATGCTGTGCGAAAGGTCAAGCATAGTGGAGGAAGCATCAACCTGCAGGGATTGTTTGGATGAAATGCCGCATCAAAGTTCTTTAGCTTCCAGATTAAGAGATTACTCAGTTTGGATGCAGTAAGGTGTTCAAGGGGAGTGGCGGCCTAGTGGTTAGGGCATAGAACTTGGAATCCTGAGGTTCTGAGTTTAAGCCCCACTGCCACTCTGGGTCTCTGAGCAAGACTCTTAAACCCCGAGTGTTCCACGATGGCAGCCCACTGCTCCCCAAGAGGATGAGTTAAATACAGAGGTACATTTCTCCAATGTGAGATCAGTAAAATTAAATTATTATTAAAATATTTATGTTTGGAAATATTCAAGCTGGGGTGAGCATCACAAAGCCCTGAGTCTGTGGTTCAGGTTATTAGCTGAAGATCTTACAGAAAAGATAGTCAGTCTTTTGTATTTTCTCCACCATGTGCAATACTAAACCATGAATGTTCTCCCTCTTCTGTGGTCATATGTTAACCTAACAGAGGTTTCTGAACCGTAGAAAAAAGCCAGAGCTACTTTTGATGGAAACTTTTTTAACAGAAAAATGTCTGGAGCAAAACTAAACTAGGTTACATGAAAAGTTTTATTTATTTTAAGATCTCAGAATCTCTCATGTTAGTCTTCTTAATAGCTCATTACTTATATTTTCTAGGATAAAGTTCAAGCGCAATGTGAAAGCCAGCAGTTTAATTACCGGATTCCTCAGATGTCTGCCATTTTTGCTGCTTGAAACTTTTATTTCTATCTGAGGTCAAGAAATGTAAATATATTCTAGCTGCATGCAGGCTGGAAAATGTTTTCAGTTATATAATGACCACATTTAGCATTTAGTCATGGAAGAGGGTGAAGAAACAATTAGTGTGTCTCAAACTAACCTATGATCCACATCTATTATTGAGTAATGGAAAAATAAAAACAGTAAATAACATCATTTATTAATATTTAGTTCTTTTTTTTAAAGCACACTCAAATCTGTGGCTCAGCTTACAAACTGTCCTCATAAATGGGACTCCACTTATATATTAAACACTTGTATTCTATGTTTATTCAGAAGATCTCTAAAGAAAAATCTAGACCCACGGTAAAAAATACAGCAAAATTTAATTGGAATACAAAAAGAAATTGTTTATTTCTCCTCTTAAATAGCAACAGGTCTTTATCGGTGCTGAAAATAGACACGTCATCCAACAAAAATGTGAAACATTCTCTTAAAATACCAATGTTCCTCTGTTAATGTTGTTTGTCCTTTTAAAATGATTTTAATACTAAAGAAAAAAATATCTCTCAGCCCCAATCGGTGCTTGGACTGACTCTCCATCCGCCTGGAGGAGGCGGTACGAGTGAGGGTGGGAGGTCAGGAATAGTGAAGAGCTGTTGAGGAATATCCCATTCTGCTTCGTCCTCCTCATTGTCCTCCTTGGTTTTTAAATCTCTGCAGAAATAAATAATTGAATGGATGAATTCTAAATGAACAGAGTCCATTATTAGGCATGCTAAACATGTAGGCCAGTGTGTTAATACAAAAAAAGAATGGGGCATACCCTTTACTACCAAGAGCAGCTTGCTTCTTTTCCCTTTTCGAGAGCCACTCCTCTATACTTCGTACTGCGATCTTTCTGTCCTCAGAGTCCTCTTTGTGTTGTCTTTCCTCTTAATTAAAGAAAATATTGCATTCATTAAGACGCAGGTGTAAAAGGGCATTCTATACGCAACATTCGTCTAACCTAAATTATTTTGTCCATTCATTTTTTTTATAATTTTGTATTTGTATAAAATGTGGCCTGAAAGTGTTACTTCCTAAATTAAGCTCTACATCTACAATTACATGGTAAACAGCACCACCTAGTGGCCACTACTTACGCTCCATTCGTCTCTTCAAATTGTAAAGATGCTCTTCAGACATGTGAGAAAATCTGCAGTTTGGACCAAAATCACAAATTCCTAAAAGAAAAAAACATAACAAAAAACATCCAACGTGATGATCTGTCTGATAAAGAAATGTTTTTCCTTTTTTTTTTTTTTTTACCTTTTTGGAGAAACTTCCTGCAGGGTTTTTTTATTTGCTCATCGTGCAGAATAGCAGCAGAATCTGTGAAGATTAGGAAAAAATATTTTATGTCCATTGCTATTGCTTATCAAATTTTATGCTGTAAATGCTAGTGTAATTTATGCTAATGTACAGATGTCATTTAAAAGCTCATAGATATTGGTCTTGCATGTCATTGCTGACAATGTAAATATTTTATGTTTTTTAAGGTCTTAAAGCCTGAGCTTGTGTGGGAGGTGGAGCGATACCAGCTAGAAACAGTCCGTCTCTCCTACACGCATAGGTGGGCTCTGGAAATCCACTACTTGAGAGACGCTGGGCCTTCTTCTACTTTGGAGTGGCCCGTATGGAGTGACGGAGGGTGGGGGTAGATCTGCTGCTCAGGCGTCTCGTGTTGGATGATAGGGTCGCATCCCTTCAGGTTGAGGCGAGGTTCGGCCTATGAGCCAATAAGGGGATCACACTACTCAGCCTCACTAGGAGAGCCAATGCCAGGATCCTGTGGAGGAAAGTATGGCTGATGGTCGAACCTTGGCTTCAGGAGGAGCTGCGTGGTTTTCATCCTGGCCATAGAACAGTGGACCAGCTCTACACTCTGCAGGGTTCTCGGGGGTTCTTGGAAGTTTACCCAACAGGTCCACGTGTTTTAGATAGATTAGATTGAGTGTAAAGCTCAAGGAAGGCTTGGAAGGCTGGGGTGGCTTGGACATCTGTACCAAACAACCCCTGGACGCCTCCCTTGAAAGGTGTTCCAGGCACATGACCCTCAGGAGGAGAGTTCCTGCCTCAAGTGGAGAAGTTCACATATCTTGGGGTCCCGTTCAAAAGTGAGGGGAGAGGGGAGCTAGAGATCAATCGGTTCGGCTGCTGCTATACAGGTGCTGGTCATAAAATTAGAATATCATGAAAAAGTAGATTGATTTCAGTAATTCCATTTAAAAAGTGAAACTTGTATATTATATTCATACATTACATACAAACTCATATATTTCAGATGTTTATTTTGTTTAATTTTGATGATTACAAATGACAACAAATGAAAATCTCAAATTCATCATATCAGAAAATTAGAATATTACTGAAGACCAATAAAAACAAAGGATTTATAGAAATGTTGGCCAACTGAAAAGTATGAACATGAAAAGTATGAGCATGTACAGCACTCAGTATTTAGTTGGGCCTCCTTTGGCCTGTATTACTGCAGCAATGCGGCGTGGCATGGAGTCGATCAGTCTGTGGCACTGCTCAGGTGTTATGATAGCCCAGGTTGCTCTAATAGTGGCTTTTAGCTCTTCTGAATTGTTGGGTCTGGTGTATTGCATCTTCTTCTTCACAATACCCCATAGATTTTCTATGGGGTTAAGGTCAGGAGAGTTTGCTGGCCAATTAAGAACAGGGATACCATGGTCCTTCAACCAGGTACTGGTAGCTTTGGCACTGTGTGCAGGTGCCAAGTCCTGTTGGAAAATGAAATCTGCATCTCCAAAAAGTTGGTCAGCTGCAGGAAGCATGAAGTGCTCTAAAACTTCCTGGTATGTGGCTGCGTTGACCCTGGACCTCAGAAAACACAATGGACCAACACCAGCAGATGACATGGCACCCCAAACCATCACTGACTGTGGAAACTTTACACTGGACTTCAAGCAACGTGGATGAAGTGCCTCTCTTCTTTTCCTCCAGACTCTGGGACCTTGATTTCCAAAGGAAATGCAAAATTTACTTTCATCAGAGAACATGACTTTGGACCACTCACCAGCAGTCCAGTCCTGTTTCTCTTTAGCCCAGGCAAGACGCTTCTGACGCTGTCTGTGGTTCAAGAGTGGCTTGACACAAGGAATGCGACAGCAGAAACCCATGTCTTTCATACGTCTGTGTGTGGTGGTTCTTGAAGCACTCACTCCAGCTGCAGTCCACTCTTTGTGAATCTCCCCCACATTTTTGAAGGGGTTTTGTTTCACAATCCTCTCCAGGGTGCGGTTATCTCTCTTGATTGTACACTTTTTTCGACCACATCTTTTCCTTCCCTTCGCCTCTCTATTAATGTGCTTGGACACTGAGCTCTGTGAACAGCCAGCCTCTTTAGCGATGACCTTTTGTGTCTTGCCCTCCTTGTGCAAGGTGTCGATGGTCGTCTTTTGGACAACTGTCAAGTCAGCAGTCTTCCCCATGATTGTGTAGCCTATAGAACTAGACTGAAAGACCATTTAAAGGCTTTTGCAGGTGGTTTGAGTTAATTAGCTGATTAGAGTGTGGCACCAGGGGCCATCAATTTTGAACCTTTTCACAATATTCTAATTTTCTGATATGATGAATTTGAGATTTTCATTTGTTGTCATTTGTAATCATCAAAATTAAACAAAATAAACATCTGAAATATATGAGTTTGTATGTAATGTATGAATATAATATACAAGTTTCACTTTTTAAATGGAATTACTGAAATCAATCTACTTTTTCATGATATTCTAATTTTATGACCAGCACCTGTAATGCAGACGCTGAACCTGTCTGTCATGGTGAAGAGAGAGCTAAATATGATAGGCAAAGCTCTTAATTTACTATTGGGTCTATGTTCTTACTCTCACCTATTCTCATGAAATCTGGATCTTGGCCGAAAGAACGAGATCCGGCTGATCAAGCGGCTGAAATGAGCTTTCTTCCTAGTGTGGCTGGGCACTCCATTAGAGATAGGGTGAGATAGGGTCTTGGATTAGATCCGCTTCTCCTCCAGAGCAAGGAGTCAGCTGAGGGTGCTCGGACATTTTTTTTCTGGTGCCCCCTGGACGCCTCCCTGAGGAGGTGTTCCAGTCACGTCCCAATGGGAGGAGACCCAGGGGGCGACCCAGGACACTATGGAGGGACTACGTCTCTCTGCTGGCCTGGGAGGGCCTCGGGATTCCCCCAGTAAAGTTGGAGGTGACGTCTAGGGAGTGGACTCTACTGAAACTGCTGCCCAGCTTCAAAAATATCCACCTTATGCTTCCATCCCATATGAATAATAAATTCAGATCAGCAGTGCAGATTTTGATCCAATCATAACTGTACATCATGACTAAAAACATATAATAGATATAAAAGTCTGCATGTCTCCCACCTTCCCCTAATCAAAAGGTAAATAGCAGAAAAGGCAGATCAAATGTCAGTGATTCTTACCCCTGAATTGGTCAAACCAGGCCTTTTTCGCTCTGTGATGCTGAACACCATTCAAATGTTTCTTCCTGTTGTGCATGTTGTCCTGAAAGGACCTATCACAGTAGTCACAGTAATACCTCTTCCCCATTGCAATCCGACAGAAAAGCTGTCAAAAAGAAACAATAATAAATATTTTTTAAACTTAAAATCACTCATTAGCTGAAACTAAGTAAAAGAAAAACAATAAGAGATATGGACAGAGCTCTTGTAAATTCATTAGACATCTGCTTGTTTATTTTGTTCCTTCCTCATCACAGAAAACTAATATCACACTTAAAAGTAGAAAACATGGGGAAAGCAATAAAATGCAACACAAGTAAAGAGAAAAGAGTGATGAGGCTGATAAGTTAAATTACACAGTAATTTATTGGTGGAGAATTAAAGCTGTACTACTGAACTTCTCAGTCATATTCAGAGAAGCACCTGCAGTCAAAAAAAGTTTAAGACCATTTATTAGTGTTGCACCGATACAGATACCAGTATCGAGCGGGGCTCCTTCACAAAGGTAGGCAGCACCTTGACAAAGCCATGATGGCAATTATTTTACATTCAAGTAGTATGCAGTTCTTCATATATATACACACACACACATCAATTTCAAACAGATGGTATCGGTATCGGCCGATAACTCAAAGCCAGGTATCGTATCGGGGCCAAAAAATGGCACCGGCGCAACACTACCATTTATATTAATATTCAAGGTGTCAACAACTCTTTTTTCCAAAATGTTCACTCTTTCTCAAGGTATAGATTGGATCAAATACTGACTGATTATGCAGCAGTCGCACCAGATTCATTTTATTGGATTAATTATGGGTAGATAAAGGGAATAAGATCAGGAGAGTTTTGTTATAGACATAATATGTAGTTATGGAACCATTTTATTTTAGTTTTTATGTTATTTTTTATTTATTTCTTTTTTATAAGAATTCATTATTACATCTACCTAGAGCTGAAACAGTTAATCGGATTAATTGTGATTAATCGATTATTGTAATAATCGTCAACTAATTTAGATTATTTGTTAACTGGAGTTTAGAGACTGTAAAATATGCTTATAGGTGACATATCAACCAGCCCTTGAGCAGCAATTATACCACAATTATAAAAAAAGATATATAAACATTTTCATTTAAGATTAAAAAAAAAAATATATATATATATATATATATATATATATATATATATATATATATATATATATATATATACGTTTTTGTCTATCAGTATGCTCTATCCAGAACCCCACAAGTGGAATCCTTTTAGTTTCACCTGGTTTAATTTTGTAAAAAGTCTTCTTTAAGAAACCTTTTGCTATCCGATTATTAATCGAAAAAAACAATCAACAGATGAATTGATTTGGAAGATAATTAATAGTTGCAGCTCTACATCTACCTTGTTATGTGAGAAAATGCATTTGTTTTACCATCACCATCACCCCTATTGGTTTCAGGAGCAAAATTGCTCAACTTTAATGTTTTTAACTGCTTTTGTATTAGTTTGTTTTGATACATTTTAATTACTCCCACATTCTTGGAGAGCAAACCAAACACATAAAGATCCCGAGGAGATTTAATTGCTGGCAGATATCAACTAATTCCTGAAAAGATGCTAGAAAATCATTTTTGATTTCTTTAAATAAAGATCTGAACACTCTTCTACGGAAGAGTTAAAAAGTTAAATGATTTTTAAATTTTATTTCAGTTTAATATGGGAAAAAGTCAGAATTCTGCGATTAAAGTCAGAATTCTGACTTTTTTCTCAGGTGACTTTGATCTCGGAATTTTGACTTTTTTCTCAGAATTCTAAATGAATTCTGACAGCTAACATGTTAGCATCAAACCGTAGTCATGTCTGTTTTAGATACTAAACTAGCTCTCTTTTTTTAAATCACCTTCTGCCCTTCCATTAACGAAATAGCATCACTTTTTACATGCCCTCGCCTAATTCCGTAATGTTCCACCAAAGTGTTACTGGCCCTCCCAAACAACTCACATCATCTTTATCAGTGAAGTTGAGTGCTTCCACATCTCTTCCTTCATGGTGCCCATCTACATCAAGATCCACAATTATGAGATTAAAGTCAGAATTCTGAGATTAAATTCAGAATTCTAAGATTAAATTCAGAATTCTAAGATTATAGTCAGAATTCTGAGATTAAAATCAGAAATATGAGATTCAATTCAGAATTCTGAGATTAGAGTCAGATTTCTGAGATTAAAATAGAATTCTTTCTTACTTCTTTCCCCCATATTAAACTGAAATAATATTTAAAAATCTATTTTTTGTTTGTTTTTTTTTTCAGTGGGGCCCTAATCCTCTTCTGCACTCTTCATAGATATATCCAATGAATTGCCAGAAAAGCTAAAGTACTAAAGTTTGTCTAAAACAAATTATTTACGTTTCCAAACTTTCTGATTGTTTACAAATATGCTGATATGACATACCGTTTAACGGTGTCCTTATTGATAAAACTTCCAACTCCAACAATGTCCAGCTGCTTCACTTTAGCAGTTATTCTGAATCCCAGCAAATCTTCAAAATACAAAAAGCAGTTTATGTGTGGTCATATTTACATCGTGTAGCTAGCAGCAATCAATTGTAGGAAGTTAGCCGTTGTTTCTACTTCCGCTTCTGCGCACTGCTCCTCACAGAGACAACATGGCGCTGGCTAAGACCGTCTACAATCTCCTCTTCAGGAGGACGTCTACCTTCGCTGTAACTATCATGGTTGGAGCGGTCTTTTTTGAACGGGTGTTTGACCAAGGCGGTGATGCTATTTTTGAGCAGATGAACCGCGGGGTAAGTCCGCTTTTGATCGTTTTAATCGACGCTGACCTTGTAAGCAGAGGGCGAAGCGGAGCTAACGTTAGCTTAGCTTGGCTAGCCGGGTCTGTAAATGACCGTAAGTTAAGTTTCGTCTGTAAATAACGTTCTTTATTAACTATTACAGAAACTATGGAAACACATCAAACATAACTATGAGAGCAAAGAGGAGGAGTAGGACGCTACCCTGTGTTATATAAGGCTGATCCGGTTTCCATCACCATGTATTCCTGGATTCATCACCTTAGTGAAGGTGCTGTCATCTTGAACAATGTGCACTAAGTCATACCCAGGCTGGAGTGGACTGTGAGAAGATCTGTGGAAGCTGACAGGCTGCCTCAACTACCGGGGAAATGGATCAAGGCTCGTCCTCTACATTGCATATATTTCCTTCAAGTTCATTGTCTTCAGATTGTAAATTGTTATATTAAACATGTCTCGATGTCATCCAAAGTTTTGATTTTTCTTTTTCTTTAATCATACAACTTAAAGTTGCCAAAGGTGTTATTGTCAAAGCATCTGTAGTGAATGTTTGGGATTTAACCACTGTACCTTTGCACTTTGGAAAGTAGGATTTGATCCGATTTTCTAGTGAGTATAATTATGTAGAAGGAAACTGTAACCATCTCCTTATTTAAATGTTTTCTATCTTTTGTTTCATACCTTCCTCACTAACTTTAACTGTCCTTTTTTGTCCTTCATTTGTTCCTGTATCCCATATTGAAACCATATCCACTAAAGTGTGGTGTTTTATGTATTCAGATTATTATAAAGGACCAAGGGTCTTGAGAAATTGAGTTTTAAAAATATTTTATTGAAATTGAACAAACTAATGATTTACAATTTCTAATGAAACCTACATAAACTCAGGTTTTCTTTCTATACCTTCATAACTATTTTTTGGTGGGTTAACATAATCACTAACTCAAAATCAAGTTTAGTTTAAATGCAAATAAATTAGTTTTCTTCACACAATATAGGGGGTTCAAGTAAGACACATTACATACAGTAAAACCACAGTAATAACATTGCCTGTAAATATCACACACAGCTTCTGCAAATGTGTAAAATATTTATTATAGGTAAACGGCCTTGATCTTTGCTTGTTACTGAAATGTGTCAGAAGATCAATCCAATTTTGCATATTGCATGATGTGTCATTAAAATCCTAAATATGACTATAATATGAACTCAATACTTGCAATGTATTTGAACAGCATTTACCCTTTTTTTGTAAAACATCAGAGAGGTAGAACTGGCTAAAATGTCAGCTCTTAAAGTGTCTGCACCAGGTCATTTCACAAGTTCAGTCAAATTACTGCATGGTAATTATAATAGCTGAGATGGCTTGCTGTCACCTGGTTAAGGCTGCAGATGAGCCTTAAGCCTCCAGGTGTCACACTAACACTATTTGTAATGACAACTCAGCACTTCCAACAATGTTACCCCAGACTTTAAAAAAAAGAGCACCATAACCCAGATTACTGAAAGTCAAATAAAGATGGTCTCTTGGTCAGAGGGTGTTTCTGTATGGGTGCCAACATTGGCAGACCCCCTCTTTTTATATGATAAAATATATTTTTTTTGCAAAAAGATATTGGCTATGTTTTTAAAATAAGAAACCTTAGTTCCTCTTGTTTTTTTTTTTATTTGTTAGAACAGTGTAGAACAAAGCAGGCTTAGACTGGTATATACATAGCAGTCTTAATGCTGGTCTTAATATAGGTATTTGTGGTTGTTGAAAAACAATATCTATTAGATTATGGACTCGTTATGATCATAGCTACTCTAGATGTCTTTAATCTTTAATCACCCCCGAACATTACATTAGAATTCTTGAATCTAATTTCAAATTCAGCTGTGCTTTATGGCCAAATGTTCCTAAAATGTTAAATCCCCACATACTAAAAGGAACAATATGCAAAATAAACGCTGCTTAAGTAGCCAGCTGACAGAAAAGCCCTCAGGGCCATGAGAAAAATTGCTTAAAACTATAACGCTTGTTGATTCTTTTGATGCAACCGAAAAACATTAGGGTTTTACTCTTTAAACTAAATCTGTATTTGAAACAGTTTAAACAGAGAACAAATTGCATTCACCAACAACAAATTGAAATGACTAACTTTTTTTATCCCATAATAAATACCTTTTAATTGCAATGCAAACTATATTTAGCCGGCAGACGTAATATTTGTGTAAATTCTTTTCTGAAAACTCACCGTTTGTTTTTTTATTCCATTATCTTAAAGGATAGCAAGTCCCATCTTAGTTTAGAGAAATGAACCTTAGTTCAGTGACAAACAAAAGCTGACATTTTGTATTAATCCTAAACATAATATTAAAAGTTGCTTACAGGACATCCAACTCCCTCAGTGAGTTAAATTCTGTCCTGATATATATATTCAAATAAAGTTAAATTATAAAAATGAAAACAGACATTTAAAAAATTGAATCTTTCAACCAACCCCATAGTCTAGTCACCCAAAGATTCACACCCATGTCTGATAAATACTGTATTTCAGGTGTGAGCATTTTTCCACATATTGTCTTCCATTTAGGATCAATGTCTTTCCTCAAGTTGTACCCCATGATGGATTTCTCTCCGACGGGCTGCCAGGGCCGGAAACGTGTGTCCTTAATCTTCTGGGCTTCAACCGCATCTCCACCATCAACACAGATGGCCCTCATCTCAGCATTTCGTCTCCTCAGCTCCTTTACATCTTGTTCCATTCTTTCTCTTCCATATGCCTCTACTTTCTGCCAGAAAGTAGCATTAAAGTGTTCATAGAGTTTCCAGTCAGCCCAGTTCCACTGTAAGGCTTTGACTCTCATCTCTGGGTCCAGATGATTCACAGATGAGGTCCTGCGAGCGTTGAGCTTGAAATACAGGATATCATCCATTGACCAACAAAGTAAATCCTTTAGCAGAATCAAAGATTCCTCAAAGTATTCAGCAATGAGGACCAAATGAAAACGTTGGGATAAGGAATGAATGCCCTCCATGATACGAGGATCATTGACTCCAAGGTTGTTATTGAAACCAAAGTCAAAAAACAGCAGGTTTTTAAGATAGAATGAGTTAAAAGCCTCTGGACTGTAGAATGCCTCGGGATTGTTCAGAAACTCAGTCAGTTTGTTTTTCCCACTGATGCCCCATGTTAAAGGAACAGCTCTGTGATAGTAATGGAAGGCGGACTCAAAGAGATCCACTGGGTCCCGTAAGATGGTGACATACACAGCGTCTGGAGGCAGAAGTTTAGCCACTTCTTGATGGTTGAAACGCATGTGGTTGCAGACAATGTTGAAGCACTGCCCTGGTCTGTAGTCTTTAACCTGGGAGCGCAGGAAAGGCTGTGGGTAGCAGAAATCATTACGTCTGTCAGGTAGGGCGAACTTCAGCTTGTGCTTTTCCCCAAACCTGAAGAGGATGTTGAGGATGGTGCTGCTCGCGGTTTTATGAGTCTTCATGAACATGATGTTCACTTTGGGAGAGCATTTCTGTTTGGGTTTAGAGCTCTCACTCAGGATGGCTTGGTTTGTTTTTGCCATGCTGAGGGGACAGGTCTCTTCTTGGGTAGGCCTTACAGAGAAACAAAGAGTTGCATTAGAATCAGCTGTGGTCAGAGGTTCACATACAGCCATAGCCATAAATATTCATTTTGATAAGTGATATTCTTCACCATGGAGTGATGATACAACACAATTTGATGCAAAAGCATGATTATTTGGTGGATTTGCTTACATTTAAACAGAGTCAAAATTATAGGTTCATATCTAGTATAGCATAAAGTCCTTAAAATATTAGTCTCTTTGTATTTAATTTATTTAAAACACATAAACTGAATTACTGACATAAAGGAACTTTTCTGTAATTTTCTAGTTTTGAAAAAGCGTCCAAAAAAGCGTCAAAGGGGTTTTCACAGATCGTTGTTCTCCAGTTGTGTCCTAGTTTCTGGTTGAGTACAAATCCCAATGGGAGAAAAACAGCCCCCACAGCATGCTGCTACCAACACCATACTTAACAGCTGGCACAGTACAGTGGGGTTTTAACACCTTTGTTGGACTAGTAAAAGCATTGTTCTCTGTTGCTGAGTCCATATTGCTAGATTATTGATTGCTCTTACCATAGAACCATTTTCCTGGAGGCATGGCCAACTGCAAATTTCTGTTGCACTTGAAAGGACATTGTTTTCACCAGTACCTTATTTTTTAATGGTACCTAACACCTGGTTACCAAGGATAATCACACTTGTGTTCATGGCAGCCTTATGCCTCTGAAGTCTCTGGATGGTTTTTGCTATAGAACCAAATGCCCTTTTATATTAGGGTGACAGTTTTGGGCAGATGTTTGAAACCTGGACACACCTATGAGTTTTTAATAAGAAGATGTTTCCAGTCACATCAAAAATAGTTTTAAAATTAAGAAAACATGGATAATACTGAGTATTTGTAAAGCCAGGACCTTTGTGAACGGTGGTTTAAAATAATTTCGTACTAATTCTGCCATTGAGTGGTCAGCTATCCAGTCAGCATAATTACAGAGGGTTCTTAATAGCTGAATATAAGGTTTAAAACCATGATGAGAGCACATATGTGTAGGTTTAACACAATGTGCAGAACGATATTTATGAAATGCTTCATTCTTTTTAACCTTACCTTATGTTCACATGGTTCGTTGTTTTCAAGCAGTAGAGGACCAACATTATGTTGGTCATTAAAACCCAGGGAATAAGCCCCCGCACCACTGCGGTACATTTAAACCCTTTGTTCCAAAGCATGTTAAACCCAAGAAGCAAACCTGAAAGGACATTAGACGGAACATTTATCTCTCATTAACAAAACATAAAGCTTTACAGGAACAATGCTTTTCAGGAAAAAAAAATAGTAAGTCTTCATTATTATGATCAAGTATTAAAACTATTATTGATGCTAAAAAGATGGTATGCATGAGAATAGCAGAGATACAGGCAAAAGATAAAAAGACAAATGCAGTGACTTGTTGTTTTTTTGCCAAACAGGGCACACACAACCCTTATGTTGACACTGGAAACATGTACATGGGGCTCAAATTTCAATTTTTAACGTATAAAACAGAAGGAGGGAGAAATTTTTTTTATTTTAAGTAAGAACCCAACCGTGCGTAGAAATGAAAATACATCTGAAGTATGAAACGATAAAGATCCAAAAACGAATTTTCACTGCAGACACTGACTGATGCCTGATAAAAAAAAGGCATTTCAAGCTGACGGTATCATATCAGTAGGTGTGTCCAGTATTGTGCATATTCTAACTTCTTTTCCAACTACATACAAATCAACTGTTAAGATAAAAAAATTATATATCCCTTTGAACTCATAAATCCTGCTATTTTCCATTAGTTATTCACCTCTTCTCTCCAAAGCCTACCCACAGGAGATGCCCTGAAACCATTCCTAATTAATAGGTATAAAAAGAACACTGTAAACTGCTAGAAGTATTCAGCACTCAGGTGCAAAAAAAGAATAAAAAACTAACAAAGAAACAACCAAGCGGTGAGCTGAGGACTTACCAGGTAGCATTAGTGGAGGTACTGATTATTGTGCCTGCTACAAGTTGAAAGAAAGCCGTCTAAGCGTGCTGTTAAAGCTCCCAGAAGTTACACCTCACTGGCTGTTCCAAGGACTCGAAGAAATCCAATCTCCTCCCACACAGGTGGAAAGTGACAGACTGACTTCTGCTGAAGGACACATTTCTAGATCTTTGTTGTGGCAGAATGTTAACCCTGGTATTTAAAAACTTCAGTCGCAAGGCACCATTTTTTAAAGAAAGATTTATGTTCTTTGACTTGATCAACTAAATGTATTTTCTGATTAACAGAAACACTTTGCAGGGTATAACCCTTTGAATTGTCTAACATAGTGAAGCTCATTGGCATTTCCTATTTCTATCAAATTTGTAAAACAAATAACACGTTGAAAGCTATCAAAACACATTAACTTTTTTCAAAACCCTAAGTGCCTTTTGTAAAAGGTCACAAAAATGAATTCCTCAGATAGTTATACAGCACAATGTCAAAACAGTCATACATCTGCTTTCAAATACATCCCATTGTTAATCCAAAAGATGTTGGAGCTTGGAGTTGGGTTCTGTGAAGACCAGAGTTTCCTCTACAATGGTTTGGCAAACCAAACTGTTCAAAGAACCATATCGGACCACTAAAAATGAAAAACAAATCTGTCTGGAGCCGTAAAAATGTAAATCTTATATAAGCCTCTTATTACAACACACACTCTAAGTTTATTTGCCCAATAAAAAAAGGACTACATGGGCTAAAATATATAAGCATTCATGATTAAATGTTTATCCTTGAGCATATGTCACATCATGTGATTACTCTGCTGTACGATATTTGGTGCTTTACGTTTAAATTCCATTACAATATTAATGTATCAGGTTTTGTTGCATTGATGAAATTATAGAAACATAATAAAGAAATCAAATATTTTATTGTTATTTTTATTCTGAGGATTGGGGGGGGGGGGAATTTAAGAAAGTTCACATACCTGCATAAGAGCATTACCTGTTCGACCTGACCGACGGTTTTTAATGTTTGCAACAAAACTAGCAGCAGTAGTGGAGTTTGGAGATGCAATCCATTTCTTAAATCTATCTTTGCGCTCCTCTAATTTATTCAGAAGTACTCCTATCCCACTATTTCTTATTACTTATCTTATCTTATTACTTGAAAACTTCTCATTACAAAGCAAACATGCAGGCAATCCTTCCGCATTGGTAATGAAAGCAAATGATTCAGTCCATTCTTCTTTGAATCCTGTTCTCATGGGCTATCTTCCTTTTTTTATTCTTGGGATCCAGGGCCCAGGACACACTCGCAGCCACCTGCCTGGCACTGCGCCAAAACTTGTGTTACAGGCCATGATGTAAATCTTTATTGACAGAAATGTTTACATTTATTGTTTAAATGTTTTTTTTTTTAAACAAATTTGTACAGCATTGGAAGACATAATGTTTGTTTGACCTCCTGCACACCATTAAAACAAAAAAAAAAAATCCATCTTTCTCCATTTTTATAAATTTTTTAAAAAGCTCTAGGGAGCCGTAAGGGGGTTATTGAAGAGCCGCATGCACCTTTGGAACATGTATCTCTATAGACCTTGTTTTGTGCTATGGTGCTTTATACCATTGTGTCCAATGCTTTATATGGTAAAAAAATAAAAAATAAATTGTAAAGCTTTGCAAAAACTGCTTTTTAGCTCATCTTAAGACTGCAGGAGGGTTGGAGGTCTCTGGAAGCCTCTACGAAATAAATTAATTCTACATACAATCGTAGATTTAGTAAAACAAAAAATATCAAACAACATTTGGAACTGCAGAAAATGTGTCATATAACACCACTCAATCTTCTCTAGAAGAACAGGTTCCAAAAGCGTAAACAAAAACAAAAAACACCCAAAAGGCTGAGATAAACATCTGTATCAGCTTACATCGTCAATAGCAGTTACCCATTAAGTCTTATCAAGCACATTCATAGGTAACCCCCCGTTTTATGGAACTTGCAGCCAGAACACAAATAGCTGGTACATAAGGTAACTCATAAATCAAAGTTACAAATTCAGAGGTATTTGATTTGCAGCATAATAGCAGAAACTACTCCTAGTTTAGTATCCCCTGCTTTAGCACAGGTTCAGTTCTCTAAATATTCTCTGCTCAGCTGTTTCCCCTCATCTCTTTGAAGCAAATGTTCATCGCAGTTAGGTTAAGGTGAATTAATTTACTAATATCTAATTATCTTCAGAGAACCAAGGCAGCACAAGTACCACAGATCAAGAACTTTGCCTTTAACCTTATATCATTCTGGGCCTGTTGATTTTCAAAAGTCCCAAATAAATTAGACTTATAAAACAAAATTATTCTTTTTGTAATTTTGTGTTGGGGGAATACGAGCTTTGGACTGAAGTCATGACTATGCATGAAGATTGGTGAGTCTTTGACTGCATGATAATGTTTAATGATTCATAAAACATGTTTAAACTGACATGGAAGTTAGTAGTTATTCTTCAATGTTGAAATATAGCCTTTGAAACATTCTTTCTTTCTTACACCTTTTATACATATTTATACCTTTTTAAAACTTTTTTTTTTTACATTTACTACACTTGAAAGTTGCATTGGAATTAAAAACTAGCGCTTATTGTACAGCTGTATTTGTGAGGCATGCCTCTGCCATCTTTATGTGTGTATCATGCATCTGTGAAAATAGACTAAAGCGAATTCAGGTTAGATTGTCTATGAGTAGAAATTCTTAAGATTTGCCATCAGATTCAGGACCTTTACTGAGCCATTATAGCATATTAATATATCTCTATCTAAAGAATTACCCCCCAACCATCCCAATTTTAAAATCCTTTTCCAAATACTCCAATTGTCCTTTATCAACCTAAATCCATCTCAACACCAAGTCTGAGTCCTGGTTCCTCTACCAGAGCTGTTGATCTTTAATAGATGAATTAGTCTTAAAATGTGAATATTATTTACAATAAATATCCTTAACAGTGCCATAAAAGTAATGCCTTGTGTAGATGGTTTAAGAAGATATTTATAATGAGGCAGACTTGTTTTGCTTTTTGTTATCGGAGTTCAGGTGCAGCTGCAGCTGCTGTTGCCTCTGGCTGTGTCTGATTAATGTCTTTCAGCAGTTTCACAGTCGGAGCCCAGTTATGTGGCAACACAGTCACTGTCATGAGAGTAATTCAGATGACAATCTTAGGATCCAGTTCAATGCAAGATAAGTGAAGAACAAAAATACAGCATAACCTTAAGACAGAAATATCTACACCAGATTTGATCAATTCATTAAGGAACGGAGGATGTAAAAATAATCCAGGGTTTTTCTACAAAAGGACATTTTACTGAGGTAATTAAAAACTTTGCACATAGTAAAGACAAACTTCCATTTTGAAATGTAAAAGTGACTTACAAACACAAACCCACTTTAACATCAGATTGATTAGTATTTTTCCTCATGGTTCATGAAACATGAATGTAAAAGATTTTCATGTATTGCTTTAAAATAAATTAATGACAATATCAATGAAACTGAAGATAATCTACTAATGAATCAAGAGTGGGGAACAATAAAATGAACAGGCTTAAAAAAAGACTTCTGCTCAACAGTTACCCAAGATGCAGCTAAGTCAATGTTAAATGTATTTATTAAACAAATTTGTACAGCATTTGAAAACATAAGTTATGTTTTTTTGACCTCCTGCACACCATATTAAAACAAAAAGAACCCATTGTGCTCTGGACATTTCCAGGAAAACCAACATTTTCATCATCGGATTTTCAAATGCTTTTTTCCTCTGAAATGTGAGACGTGGCTTTGGTTTTCTTTGAAATGCTGCAATTGTTTGATAACAGGAATCTCCTATTCACTTCACGGAAAATAAAAAAGCAAGAACTTCAGGTACCACCCATTATTCACACATCCCTGAAAGGAGTCACTCTTCAAAGGCTGTTTTACTGAAAACGAAATCAAATCTTGTTTTCTCTTACAAATTCAGATCAAACCTAAAAAAAAAAAAACAGAACTAATGTACATTTAAAACATTAAGCCACCTTTATTTAAACAAAGTTAAGATACTGCAGAAAATCTACCATAAAATCCTCCCCAAAAAGTCAGCATTGTCATTAAGAACAAACATTATGGGTCCTTGGAGTGTTGTACAGCAACAAATCCAACCAAGTTGGGAACAAAGGACAGATTCTATAGTCTTAAAATTACCAGGCACGTATAGGTGACTGAAAAAGAAATGGATAATAAAACATACATTGAATTTAACAATAAAAGCACACAAACATTTTTATGCACAGTTAAGCCACATTTGGCATTGAAATATAATTAATTTTTCATAAACTTGTCCATTAACAGAAAGGACCATCAGGTCAAACCTTCCTTAAAAGAAAAGCCTTTGTGCGTTCTTCAGAAATTATTGAGGTTCCATCATGGAACTGCTCAAACTCTTTTTGCCTTTTTTCCAGGCTATGTATAATAAAATATGTTACACAGTTCTTTATAATATAGCAAAAATAATTCTCTCTAACATCTCTCACCTGAAGCAGCTTTTAGTAACACTACAACTTTTCCTCTCTACGGTGTAACTGAGAAACCCTAAATAGCAGATTAACCTCCTAAGAAAATATTATGTTTGGAATGTATACAGATTTGAAAGTCTTTATGTTTTCAGTAGACAGGCTTGTAAAAGATCTGGCCACCCAGAATCCTGCGCCTCAGCTCGTTCCACAGCAGGCTACGCTCTTTCTGAGATCCTTTCATGAAGCCGCGGTTTTCTTGTGCACGCCGAGACAGATAGGGGATCACCTCATTGACAGGACCGTATGGGACGTACTTGTACACTGGGAAACCAGCTTGACCTGTTTATTACAGAGGAGACACAAACATGTAATAAAAAAAAAAAAACACTATCGCCACCGTGTGAGCATCCAGTGTCATGATTTGTAGTGTGGGGAAATTCAGTGCCTTTACTTTTGAATAAAGACAAACAATAAAAGGTAATAGTTAAAAAATTATTTGTAGATAATGTTTAAAAAAAATCAAAACTTTACAGAAGTTTCAATCATGACCTTGAGCATATCTTACAGACAGAAGTTCACCGGACAATTGCCAGATGGAAGACAAATGACTGTAGCATTGTTTTCAAAACTTGCCAAAATAAAAATTAAACGCTTATATCCCCTTTAACTACTATAGACCTAAACAAATCAAGTCCGACCTACATCTTGCAGCAACACAGCTTTATATTATCAGGAAATTAATTCTGTTGCACTAAAAAAAGAAAATGCAATCATGTTGATTCCTGATAACCCTACTGATTGTGGTAGAGACACATTTTCCAAAGACTTCTCATTATTTGTAATTAAGCAATGTCATGATAACTCGGTGCGGTGGTTAGCATTACAGACCCTTAAAATAAACACTCAGGTTTGAGTGCTAAATAATCTAGAGTCAATCCACCTACTGAGCAGTTAATCAAAATATTAAATTATTGCATTCAAGCAGAGCTTTGGAAAAGCAGTATGGCTGAAATATTGCAGTGATGACTTGGATTTGAAGTACAGTGGAGCTCAAAGAACCCTGCAGGCAATTCATAGATGAAGTTATAAATAATGGCAAGACTACAGTTGATGGGAAGATGGATGGTGCAAAATTAAGGTAACATTTGGAAGCAAACCTCTTTGGGCTTGCTAAAGACCTTAGATGGAGCTAAAACAGAATGGTCAGATCAAATCAGATCCTTTTGTTATTAAAGCCTAATAGAAAAAAATAGACTGACAGTAAATCTAATTAGAAACTGATTGGTTCAAGAACTTTGCACACATTTCAATCCCTAGATTTGCAGAGCTGATTTAGAGATACAAACTACCAAAAGAAAAAAAAAAAGACCTTCAACAGTCACTGCAACAAAAAGTTACAGTTTATTTTTGTTTTCTTAAAAAAAAAAAAAAAGATTTATAATTTTATTTCCAAGCTCTCACATGGGCATTGGATTATTTAAGGTCAAATGAAGTAACATCATCAGCTTAAGACTGAAACCCTGTGACGTAATGTTTGGCAATTCTCAGTAAAGCACATCAGGAACTTGTTTGCTCTCAACACGCCTACAGGTTGCACACACCATAAGGTCATCAGCTCACCTGACTGAGAGGGCTGACGTCTGTGGGGGTCGTGTTTTAGGAGAGTTTATTCGGCTCTGACGTAAGGCTTTTTGATTTCATAATCTAATGTTTGCTTATAGTACCCGAGCTGAGTTCAACGTACCTAGCGGGAAGCTGATCTGGTCACACATGCCGAGCAGCTGTCCGAAGTAAACTTTATTCTCAGAGGGTGAAAGACCCATTTCATTCATCCTATAAAAGAAAAAAAAAAACACATATTAGGGTGTGTAGAGATTTGTGAATCATTATAAAAGTGGTCCTACATTTTTCCATAACAGATGTTGCAACCCTGTTCTGTAACTGTACTGAAAGCTTATAAGTCTCCTCTCATAACGGAGGTTTGACTTCAAACCACAGGGTTTAATTCTCATTTCAACAAAATCTAAAATGAATTGCATGACCAGCATTTAACATTCTTTAAACTCTAAACATGTTAGAAGAAAAAAAAATACATACTTGTCAAGAGTGAACTTCACTGTGTCTTCATTGTGTGTAGCAACCATCACATTTGCTTTCCTGTTATGTTCAATCTCCTCCAAAACATACTCCAAACACCTGGATAAACAACGAGGAAATGGTAGGAAATCAAAAAATCTCAGGCTAAAGTACAGATGGGCTCCTGGGAGAAACTCCAGACTTACTTATGATACATCCTGTTTGTCGCTTCATAATCTGGGTTTATAGGGTCTTCATAGCCAATCTCCTCGGCCCTGGCTCTCTCTTGGTACATATAAGCTCCACGGACTAGTTTGGCACCAAAGTACCAGCCCTCTCTTCGGGACAGCTCAACATCCAGGGTCACGTTGTCGTAGGCTTCCTAAAATGCATTGTGAAAAACTTAATGAAAGCCCAGATGCATAACTACCTTTAGATATTACTATTCTGGAAAGAAGGAAAATAATAAAAAAGAGTTGCTTGTAACTGATTAATGATAAAAAAAATACATAAAACAAGGTGATCTTTTAAAACTCCCCAGTTTTCAAATAGTTACAGCATTATTATGATAAACAATCAATGTAACTCCCTAAAATAACTAATTTACCTTAAGATAACATTGATAGGTGTTGAAAATCACTGGCTTTTCTCTGTTGAACTTCCTCTGCATCTCCAGGGTGAGTCGACTGATTGCTGGTTGGAAGTATGTCTGTTCTGCATCCACCATGAGCCTCACCCCATTTTCCAAAGCATGCTGAGAGACAAAAACAGTCGATTTCATTTTACTAATGGCTCTACTTTGGAGTTTTTTCAACTCTAAAGGCCCACTATCCTCCATGTTTAAAATCTGAACCAGGTGTTTTAGCTACCGGTAAGTAACATCTAAAACACGCAGTGGGCAGTGTGCCTAGAGTAAAAAAAACAAAAAACAAAAACTCTGTTATAGATAATAAATATTCATAAAGCCACTGAATATGTGCAAAAGCCAAAAAAAGAGCTAACGATGATGAGACTTTTTGGTTGCTCCCTTACACCAGACGCCCTTCCTGCATTAACAGTCGAAGACTTAATTCACTTCACCATCGGGGCCTATTCTTGTTATAAAAGTTGACATTTGGAAGTTTATTTTTCCTTAACCAGCACCTCAATCATAAGTTATAAGTGATGGGTGCATATATTTATAAATGCAGTCATGACTTTAGTTCTCACCTTTGCCAGAATGTCGACTCTCTGCAGCATTCTCTTCATCTGGCTCTCCTCTTCAGCTGTAAATTTGCTTGACAAAGATTCCAGCTGACCTGTCTGCAAAGCCAAAAACAGTTATTAGAACTTCTAATGAAGAGTTCAAAACTGCAGGGTTTTCTCCAATGCTTGAGGTTAGCAGTAAGGCAGAAAACTAACAACTATTTTGCTCATCAATTTGTTTATTCTATTCTCAAATGATAATCAGATGGCAAAATGTCCCTAAATAAAGCTAAAACTGTGCCCTTTGACAACTTCTGGATAGAGCTTATAAATGAACAAAACAAGGTTTTCATCTTGATCATACAATGTTTATATTATTTAGGTAAAGTAACTGCTTCGAGTTGGTTCCTTTAGAGTCTCTATACTCAAGTTAAAGATTGATTAATTACTAAATGAGTTGAAAATTATTTCAATAGTCTATTAATCAGGATTGATCCAAGTGTTTTAGTTCTAGTTAGCAGTAATCAATTATTTATACAAATGAATATATTTTCATACATTAATTTTTACATCTGAGGGTGGAATAGAAGTTAGCTTCTTTATTTTTATCACATCCGTGAGTTCGGTCGGATTTGTTCCAAAGAGATGATCAGGAAATCTAGCATGAAGTGGAACTAATGTTCTAGCCTGCATCTACTCTTCTGATGCAGTTTTAATTTACTATATCTCCATCTCCAAACAAAGGAAAGGCTGTCGCATTGAGAATTTGGTACATAATATAATCATTCTGTTATCTCAGTGGGGATTTGCCATATTTTGTGTCAAATGAAAAGTGTCTAGCATAGACAGCTCCTAATGCCAATTTATAACCTGATCTCTTCTCAAAGTCAGATTATACATGGAATGAAAGATATAACAATAAATTACCTCAAGATTTGGCACCATGAGCAGATTGGACATTTTTGTTGTGTCATTTATCAAACTGTTCCAGTCCAGCAAGTCGATTGTTCTGGGAATATCAAATCAAATAGAAATTCAATCAATTCAGATTGTTTAATTTCTTCATCTAGAAATCTAGCCTTGAGATAACTGCGATATTGGTAAATTTCTTAATATTTATCCAAAAAGGGAATGTTTTATTACCCTGACAAACCTAGCTTCTCCCCAGTGAACCAGTTTTCAATGTCATCTTTGGCTCCAACACCCATCTGAGTCAAACTTTCCTGCAAGAACAAAATATACCAATAAAAAATATATAAAACAAAGTCTATATCATTTCAGTAAAGTTGCCCCAAATGCTCAGAGACAGAACTAAAAACTTGTCATAAAATAGTCTGAAAGCCTTCAGTAACCATTCCTGGGTCTGCATGTAGGGACATGAAAAAGATCTGATGAACCTTGAGCTGCTCCAGTTCCAGTGTCTTCTCCAGAGCAGACATGTCTGATTTTCCTTGTTGTGCAGCGAGGAAGTTAAAGAATTTCCTCCATTTAACCAGGACCTCTGAAAACTGAAGCTGTTCAGATAAAAGGACAAGATATTAATCATTATTAGGTCATAAAATCACCGTAGGCGTGATTTAACATTGACAATAAGGTGCTAAAACAAAACAAACCAGGAAAAAACTGGCTCATTGAACAAAACCACTAACATATAATTATAATTAAAATGTAGAAGTTATTCTTACGAGGAACTGTGGACGTCCAAGTGCAGTCATTTTGATAGCAGAGAACCCATCAGTTGAAGCTCCGCCTAAAAGTACCAACAATGGGATTTAGATATGCCTGTTTATATTATGGTAAAATTGGTATTTATTTTTAAATGAACTTCTTTATACATAACTGTTAATAAATTCATCAGTATCTACCCTACAAAGCACATCAGCCAAGGCAAACTAGGGACAGTTTAACAAGCTAAAAGCTTTAATGAACAAAGACCTATTTTTTCAAACAATAACATAGGAAACATTTTGAGTAAACATATCGCTTTGCTTTTCAGGCTGACGGACAGTACTCAATGTACTTTAAGTGTAGGTGCAAAAATCCACAGAATACTGTTTGCTTGACCTGCAATGATGTCTTTGAAGTTGGATCTACTTTGGATAGTAAAATATTTGCTGTTCTGTTGGCCTTATTCAGCGCAGTATTTGCCTTGGCTCCATCAGGAAGACCAGAGCAATAGCAAAGTGACCTTGTCCTACTACAGAGAAGATAACGCCTACGTATAAGCTCTTCACATAATCCAACCTGAGAAAAATACATATTTAGAAATTGATCCGATGACTCCTGTATTGGTTGTGAATTGTTTGCATGTTGTTATTCTAATAAAATAACACATATTTGACCAACTGTTTTAAAAACCTACTCACCCGATGCTTTAATACAGTTTATGAAGGTCTCCATTTGATTGTCACATTTGGCCTCGTCAGCATAAAAGTAGGTGCGAGCACTGATGACACCTCCACGTCTGTCCCCAAACCGCCGATGGGCCTTGTATTTCTTCTCACGGTGATCTGCGCCTGAAGAGGGCAAATTATCAACTAGAATTAAGTTATGCTGGCAGGTATATGTCTAGATAAAATATTATCTTGAGAATTTGTTTAAGACTGAGAAATCTCTATCTCTATCATCTACAAGAGTTGAGCTTTTGTAGAGTAATAAATGTGTCAAAATCCTATAATTTATGGTTTATATCATGAAACCCATTGTTGTAATAACACAGATAATGCTTGAGCTTAGTAATTGCAAAAAATTTTGCATGATTAAAAATACTGTTTTCAAAGAAACCCTTGCAGCTGTGACGTAAATGTTAACTTCTTCAATGTCAGTCACACGGCATCCCGCTGCAACAGCTGAACTGGACATTTTAAACCCAACAGGATCCAGCTACAACCAGCGCAGACCAGCCAAGAGCAAATGTTGCATGGTATGGTATGAGAGTCCAGCCTATCAGCCTGCACTGGCATAGCTTTCACTTGCAGCGTCATCATTCTGAGAAAAGAAAACCATCTTTATATCAGCTAACTATTCACTGCCTCTACACTGAGCATGGAAGCTGAAATCTTGTGGAAAATGAAATGAATAACCCTTTATTTAAACCAATATACACACCAGAGCTGTCCTTCTCTGCCTCAGAAACACAGGACCTGAAAAAAAATAAAATAAAAAAATAAAGGACAGTCATTAGGCAAGTTAATTAATCTCTGTAGAACTAATGAATAAACATTTTAACAGAGAATTTTAATTTTAAAAGTGGTAAAACATCCCAATTTTTTTATGCTGCTTTGCTGAGATATTCAAACTTTTTCCCCATATATCATATTTGAGAATATTGCATTTTTCTGTGAAGTCGTGTCAGTGAAACAGTTTCCTGATATGTGCTCAGAGAAGTACAGAAAAAAAAAACTGAATGTATTTATTTCTACAGGCATGTAGACAGAAACAATCCTCACCAGAGAACATTGCATACGCCTTCTTTGCAAGAGTAAGGGTGTATAATAAAACATCCAGCACACACGCCTAAACCATTGAAAGCCTTTTAATAATTTCCACTCTTCCAGCTGGACCTCAGCTCCAACCAATCAGCTGAGGGAGGTATGTCCCAACTGGCCAATAGGAGACAAGAACAGCTTGTCTTGTGAAAACAAATCCAACTCTTTCCGATTTGATTACAGGCCTTTTAAGAGGGGAAAAACATTGCAAATGACCCAGATTAAGAGGTAATAACAGAACACCTGAAGCGATAAGATTAGAGCAACTAATATCAAAGTGCAGTGCAGTGGAATATTTCAGAGATTATGAAAGGAAAGATACAAACATCCTAAAATAAGGCATAACTTTAATGGTAAATTTTTAGAGTTTAGATCTGATATTTTTAGAAGCAACATCCTATTTTGTGATTAAGGAACATGCATATAACATAGAGGCCATTGCTCACTACCCTTGCAGTTAGCTGTTTGCTGTGAAGAATTACATTAATATACTGTATATTATAGCAAAACTCAAATACCCACAGCTACTTAGGGGGCTGCATGGGGGAGAGAGGGCCTAAGCAGAGTATTTGCTTCTTGGCTGGGGCAGATCTCAACCTATTACTCTGGGTTTCATAGAAAGACCAAAATGCTCCCCCAAGGGCTACAAGCTGCTCCTTATGTTAAATTCCATATTCATCCCCATTAAATCCAGTTAGGATGGAAATGTTTCCCAAATTAGAAAACTCTCTTGAACTCTGCAACCCTAGTGTTTAACCTATGGGCTAAAGTAGGCGATGTACTCTGAAGGTGCTCCTATTTTCCTAGTACATTTCATGCTATTGCACAATAGTGGTTAAACCAGTTTCTGCAGTCAAGCTGTAGGCAAATAAAGCATGACTTCTCTACAAATACTAAGATCTGTGACATAAAAAAAAAAAAAAAGTTATTGAATACAATCGAGAACTGTCACGGTCTACCCGCTCTGCTAAGGTTTTCTTAATAATAAAACATGCAATCTAATCAAGTATAACCGGGATGATTAGAGTGAATAATGTTCCTTTCCTCTCATAATTAACTACTAAGAATGAGTGTGAGGAAATGTGTTCTGTCAGTGGTTTTTTATGCAATTTATGGAGCTACATCAAAATAACGCTGCTCAGATTACAAAATGCATCTCACGCTTCCACTTAAGAAAACAAACAGACAGTGGAGCTCTCTGTTGTCATGGCACTGATGTTATTATTAAATTACAATAAGGGCTTGGTTGGAGAAAGACCAAGCAGTTAAAACCTTAAATGAAAAAAACAAGTTAGAAGGGGTTAGCTGTGTAAATACATTTGTCTCAACTGGATTATATGTTATATAACTACTGATGCACTCACTCCATTTCTTTCTTCTCTGCCTCCTCTTGTGTCAGATCTTCTTCCACACTGTAGTCCAGTACAGCGCCCACACCGAAAGCCTGGTTCTTGTTTATTAAAGGTTTGATGGAGTTATGATCTTCCCCTGCCACAAACTGACCATAGAAGGTCATCTTCATCATCTTCTCAAACATCCGTTGACCCAGCAGCTTCTTGCTCAGCTCCATCAGCTGTGGGCGCATAGAAAAGAGGTCATGAGTTGGTTTATTTCAAAGCAGAATTTGAGCTGAATTGATGCGTTTTCAGAGGAACTTACCTCTTTATTCTTCTCAACAAGGAAGTCAATGGTGCATAGATTGAAGACAAGCAGACTTCTCAGCAGCTCGATGTTGTTCTTACTTTTATATGCCTCCTCGGTGTTGTCGAAGTCGATGTGAATCCTGTTGAGGCGCACGTCTTTGGCGTTTTTGGTCTGGCTGATAAGTTCAACAGGAACAGCTTCCACCACAGGGCAGCCCTCCAGCTGCCGCTGCTGCTTCTCTTCCTGGCTCTTCGTGGATGCCACCGTTGACCGATAACTTGAAGGTGAAACGCTAATTTTGTTGATGCTGCCCGACTTTGCCCGAGCAAGTGGCGCTAGAAACTTTGTGTAGGACATATTTTCTCTTCTTTCTTAGAGTTTTGGCCGCTCGGTGGTCGTCTGTTGTTCGGTTTTTGGCTGCTGCGTATGTGCCTCCACCGGGTGAGGGTTGTGTAATGAGCGCGCGCGTCTGGGCTGCTGTGCTTCAACTGCCTGGCCTGGAGGGGCGGTTCCTCACATGGTACAGCACGCGCCCTCCTGAATAAAGTAAGGTGAATGACAATCCATCAATCTACTTTTGGGTTCATAAAGTACTTTTGAAAAGGTTGTGTTTGAATTAAACTGACTCTATATTTTCTTTACTTATTTTTATTCATAAGATATAAATAAAAATATAATAAAAAAATAATATTCAATTCATATTATTAAACAAGCCTCCCTTATATTTCTTCATCAGTATTTTTCTTATTTCTTTGTTGTTGTTTTTTTTTTTTTATATATATATATAATGCCAACCAAACATTTGAATAGAAGTAAAGACTTGCATGAAATAAAATAAAAAATACAATGTTCAACTCAGTTATTGCAGACCAGGTTAGTTATCTTGTGCTCTGGTGTTGTATCACTCATAAATTTTTAATTTTAATGAATGAATCATCTGTATGAACAAACTGAATCGAAAAACTTTCACTATCTTATTTTTTATTTTCTCAGCACAGTCAGTGCCAGCCTATAAGGAGTGGAAGTTCTACGCTGTGTAACTCACATGACATCCATTACTCCAAGCTTAAATTATAGATTTGACTAACTCAGGATTCACTAAGCCCATTACTCCCAGCTTAAATTATAGCTTTGTCTAACTCCGGATTCACTAAGCCCATTACTCCCAGCTTAAATTATAGCTTTGACTAACTCAGGATTCACTAAGCTCATTACTCCAAGCTTAAATTATAGCTTTGTCTAACTCCGGATTCACTAAGCCCATTACTCCCAGCTTAAATTATAGCTTTGTCTAACTCCGGATTCACTAAGCCCATTACTCCAAGCTTAAATTATAGCTTTGTCTAACTCCGGATTCACTAAGCCCATTACTCCCAGCTTAAATTATAGCTTTGACTAACTCCGGATTCACTAAGCCCATTACTCCAAGCTTACGGTAAATTATAGCTTTGTCTAACTCCGGATTCACTAAGCCCATTACTCCAAGCTTAAATTATAGCTTTGTCTAACTCCGGATTCACTAAGCCCATTACTCCAAGCTTAAATTATAGCTTTGTCTAACTCCGGATTCACTAAGCCCATTACTCCAAGCTTAAATTATAGCTTTGTCTAACTCCGGATTCACTAAGCCCATTACTCCCAGCTTAAATTATAGCTTTGACTTACTCCGGATTCACTAAGCCCATTATTCTAAGCTTAAATTATAGCTTTGACTAACTCAGGATTCACTAAGCCCATTACTTCAAGCTTAAATAATAGCTTTGACCAACGCCGGATTCACTAAGCCCATTCTAGAATTGCTCTGCTTATGAGGCTGCACATTGTAGTAGCTCTGCTAGCTTGCCTCTGATATTTTTTTTTTCCAGAGAACTTGAATTCTTCCATTTTTGGACCAAAGTGTCTTTTTTTCTGATGTTATTTGCCTCAGTTGTTGAATACTGTGACATTGGGAGGATTTTCACCAATGGCGTAAATATCAGTAATTACAGATAGCAGTTGCTTGGAGGCCCTCGACCTCTTAGGGGCCCCATCACTGACAACTGGTAGGGCCCCTACACAATTTCAGACTAGGACGTCTCTTTGCAGATGTAATGGTGCGAAAACTTCCTCTTACACCCACCTGATACTGAAATGACTGATCTCACCAGACCCTATTTATATTGCAAGACATGGTAGATTTCAACATGATGGTGAGCCGTTTAAACACGACACCAATAGCAAAGCAGACAGTGGTACTTTTAATTACTATGTTAATAACTGTGTATAGTTCATTAGACGGTTGGGCACCAGGGATGCAGAACAGGAGCAAAAGAGAAGAGAGAGGAAGAAGACATTTAAACCATCTCTTCCCTCAATCATCATGGCAAATTTTAGATCTTTTGAAAACAAGTTAGTAGATCTCTAAGCCCTAGCAAGGACCTTGTCAGAATATTGGCAAAGCAGCATTATGTGTTGCATTGAAACGTGGCTCCAGGATCATATCTCAGACTCAAGCATATATCTGCCAGGCTTTCTGACCATACTAGCAGACAAAGATAAGACAGGGAAATTCAAAGTCGGTGTGAAGATTTGTCACTGCAGCTCATACTGAACTGTTGGCAGGTGATGTTTGCCCAGAGAGTTCAGTAGTGTTTTAGTAACTGTTTACATTCCACCTTCTGTCATTGCTGACACTGCATGTGATGTAATCAGTTCCATTGTTGCGAAGATACCCACAATAACCAAATGCATTTGTGGAAATAACTGTTGATTTTAGTCATGCCTCAATCTTTGTTACACTACCAATGTTCCAACTGTTTGTCAGCTGCTGCATCAGAGAAAAAACTTTGGACTTGTTTTATCCAAATGTCAACAACTCATACATCTCTGAAGTAAGACCTCCACTTGGGATATCAGATCACAATCTTGTTTTTCTTTGCTCAGATTATAAGCCACTTTATAAGAGCCAACCTGCAGTAAGAAGATGGTCATAGGAAGCTGAAGAAGCCCTGCAAGGTTGTTTTGAGGCTACAGACTGGGATGCACTGTGTCAGCCAAGTGGAGAGGACATGCAATGACTGAGTGTGTGCGTAGATAGTAGCTACATCGTTGAAAGAGAGACACGCAGTAGCACTCAGTGAATTTTAACCTGCACCTACTTCAACATATGTTTAAATAAAATTTAGGAGACGGGTTGGTTAAAAAATTAGTGATGCCAGCAAAAAATATGTTCTTTATGCATATGAAGCTTTTTCAGCTATAATGGCAAAAGATTGTAAGTTTATACAAGCTAGTATAATAATGCAAGAAGCTTGAGAAAACATAGTTTACATAGTAATAAAGAAGAACAAAACATAGTTTTTGTTCTTCTATATCAGTTAAAAAAAGATGGGCTTCTCAGAGGACCATGACTCCCACTTAAAGGTAAAAATGAACAGATATCTGCTGTGTTTTTTTTATGGAAGAGAAAATCAGACTGCAGAGCTTCTAGATATCTTAAAAGTTAATTTCCCTGGCATCATTATAATATTTGCTTATCGCCATGGAATTGGAGGTGATGGTGCCATCATCCACCAGCTTCAACAAACCCACTGTCATTTAGAGAAGGCAGAGAGCACTGTGAGGATCGTGTTCTTTGATTTCTCCAGTGCATTTAACAAGATTTAGCATGACTCATTTTGTGAGAAACTTAAGAAGACTCGGGTGGTGGCATTAACAATTGCCTCGATCCAACAGACAGACCACAGTTTATAAGACTGAAGGGTCAGCTGTCTAATCGAGTAGTCAGGAGCACCACAGGGGACAGTACTCTCACCATTTCTTTTTACTCTGTGCACGTCCGATTTTCAGTACCAGACAGAGTCCTGTCATCTGCAGAAATACTCCGATGACTCTGCATTCATTGGGTGCATCAAAGATGGACAAGAAGCTGAGGACAGAGAGTTGGTGTCGCATGGTGTGGAAACAATGATCTGATCCTAAATGTCAACAAAACAAGGGAGATTGTTGTAGCTTTCAGAACAGGAACAATTTGAAACCTGTTAACACCATGGGAGAAGAAGTGGAGGTGATTGAGGACTATAAATACCTTGATGTTCACAAACTAGAATGGGGACTGTGAAGCCTACTAAAGAAAAGACAGAGCAGATTGTGCTTCCCAAGGAAGCTTCAGTCCTTTGGTGTTTGCAGCAAGATGCTACATGTCTTCTATAAATCTGTGTGATCTCTTCTTCCATCCTCTGCTGGGGTAACAGTATTAGAGCTAATAACTTTAAAAAGCTCAACAAGCTTATTAAGAAGACAGCATCTATTCTAGGAACACCTCTAGAAACTTTGGAGACTATTTCCCAGAGAAGAATTCTTCATAAAGTAAAGAACATTATGGACAACAGTGAGGATCCTCTTCAGAAGATGTTTAAACAACAGCAGAGTGTCTTGAGAAGGAGTCTTCTCCAGATCTGGTGCAAGACAAACCGCTACAGAAGATCCAACACCTACCACCTGGATCAAAATAACCTGTGAGATACTGCAACATTTAATTTACCTTTGGGATTAATAAAGTATGTTTTTAATTTGAATCCTTGTCCTGTAAAGGGCGATAATATTCACAGAAGTGCCCACCCTACAGCAAATCCAAGAAGAAGAAGCAGAAGCTTTTGTCTGCTATTTGGTCATGTTGGGTTCCAGTACATGAAGGTGTAAAAGGCAATGAAACGGCAGATATATTGGCAAAAGGGGCTTTAGAGGGAACAATAGCAATTACAATTCCTTTTGGGAAAGGAAAATCTCTTATTAAGAGTAAAGACATGGAAAACTGGGGGGGGAAAATGGAACGAAGAAAAGAAAGGAAGAGGAGTATATAAGATCCAAAAATCAGAATTAATTAGAGAAACAGAAGGTAAGAAGTAATAATCATTAGATTAAGAGTGGGTCATACCTATTTAAATGACAATTTATATTTAATAGGGAGGAAAAATAATGATAAATGTGAAGGATGTGGGAAAAAAGAAAAATGTAGAACATGTACTGATGAACTGTAAAACTTATGAACATGAAAGGGAGAAATTGAGGTGGATGGTTGAAAGGACAGGCAAAGAATGGAGTCTTAAAGGAATATCGGGAAATTAAGGAAATATAAAGGATATTCACAGATTAAGGAAAGAATTATTTATTTATGTACAGAATACAAAATTTAAAAACAGAATTTGATTTAAAGTAATGTTGCTACACACTCATGTACAGTAGGTGGCAGTATGCACCTTAAAGTTGCTTGCCATCCGTCATAATAGAGAAGAAGAAGAAGTTACGTCTGCTGGCTGCTACACGGAAGAAGCTGAGTGTCTTGCGTTCAAAGAGTACGAGAAAGGTGTAATAGGGAACTTTGAAAGGTAATCGTATACTTTTAAATATCCGAGTAATTTCTCTGATAATATATATAGTAACACCGAATAACACTATTGTTATAGACTAGAAGAAATCACGTTGCCAT